TAAGACCTAGTCGCCTCTACGGCATGGGCAAAGTTTAGGAGTAGACTACGAGTCGCTCCCCAAAGCCTAAGGGCCACACTACTGCATAAGACCTAGTCGCCTCTACGGCATGGGCAACACTGCTGCTTAAGACCCAGTCGCCTCTACGGCATGGGCAAAGTTCAGGAGTAGACTACGAGTCGCTCCCCAAAGCCTAAGAGCCAAACTACTACTTAAGACCCAGTCGCCTCTACGGCATGGGCAAAGTTCAAGAGTAGACTACGAGTCGCTTCCCGAAGCCTAAGGGCCAAACTANTCGCCTCTACGGCATGGGCAAAGTTCAAGAGTAGACTACGAGTCGCTTCCCGAAGCCTAAGGGCCAAACTACTACTTAAGACCCAGTCGCCTCTATGGCATGGGCAACACCGCTGCTTAAGACCCAGTCGCCTCTATGGCATGGGCAAAGTTCAGGTGTAGACTACGAGTCGCTCCCCGAAGCCTAAGGGCCACGCTACTGCTTAAGACCCAGTCGCCTCTACGGCATAAGCAACACTGCTGCTTAAGACCTAGTCACCTCTATGGCATGGGCAACACTGCTGCTTAAGACCCATTCGCCTCTACGGCATGGGCAACACTGCTGCATAAGACCCAGTCGCCTCTTCGGCATGGGCAACATCCAGGAGAGTGGACTACAAGTCACTCCTAGAGCCTAAGGGCTAAAGTACCGAACTAGCAGAGACCTCGGCGCCTCACGGGCAGCTCGCTTCCAAGCAGCTCCCAGAGCCTAAGAAACTGAATCACCGCCTACGAGCTCGTCAAATTACAGGCCAAAAGGAGAAATCTACTCCTTTCGTCGAGTTACTTTCAGCTCGGGAGTGGGGGGGCAAATGATGAGGGCGGATTTGGCTCTCCAATGACATTGTGACACCTGGCACCTTATGACAATTAAATGCAGCCCCTTGACAACTAGGCAGCTCGAGCTCGTCACTTACAAGCAGCTCGCCACTAGGCAGCTTGCCATCATGCAACACTCACAGGCAACTCGCCACCATGCAGCACTCACAGGTAACTCGCCACCATGCAGCACTTCACAAGCAGCTCGCCACTAGGCAGCTCACCATCATGCAACACTCACAGGCAGCTGGCCACCATGCAACACTTCACAAGCATCTCGCTACTAGGCAGCTCACCATCATGCAGCACTTCACAGGCAACTCGCCACTAGGTAGCTCGCCACCACGCAGTACTTCACAGGCAGCTTGCCATCATGCAACACCCACAGGCAGCTCGCCATCATGTAGCCTGGCACCTTAGAAAAACTAGGCGACACCCGGGACCACTTTGACAACAACTTGCCTTTGCTAAGTTGATGGTGTCCCACCAGGCGTAGTCTGGCACAGGCGCGGCCTGGCCGTGGCGCGACCTGGCCCTAGCATGATCTGGCAGCCTGGCCCTGGCGCGACCTAGCCCTGGCACGAGCTGGTGGCCTGGCCCAAGCACCGACCTGGCAGTGTGACACAAGCGCCAACCTGACAACCCCGAGGAGCTCACGACCGTACCCCGCATTTTACGAGATTGTGACTTGTAACGGCTATATTAGCTCACCCACTCCCCGAGTCAGGTGGAAATGGGCAACCTTACCAATTGGTGGCTTTGTCCCCACCTAAAACGAAAATAGGTCCCATCATAGCGGTAATCCAGGAACTGCTCCACCTAACCCACGAGGACTCCAGTATATAAAAACCTCACCCCCAGGGGCGAAGGTAAGGTGAAAAAGGATGGTAACCCCTACTCTCTAGCTCTCTCATTCTCTTATATCATTTTTCAGCTCGCTACTAAGTGTTGACTTAGTCGTCGGAGTGGCCTCGCCGAGTATACACACCTGGGTTCTTTGATTCAATTTGTGTAGGTCCCTCAGTTCCCGTCGTCTATAAAGATGAGCAGATCATATCCAGCAGGAAGTAGCCTGTTCAGTTCCCATCGCTGCTGGTAGCCAAATCACCTCATGCAGGGAGCAGCTGGGTTGCACTACGCCAGGAAGCTCCACTTCAGCCCCTGAGTTACAGGCCACTTGAGAGCAGACGAGCTGACGAATTACTTAGCCAAAAAAATGATCCATGACCAGAACCCGTCACATCAGGTCCCATTTCTTGTGCAATGATTTGGATATTGTAGTTAATTAGATTGAAAAACAAACTTCATCCACGGTCTTGCTTTTGTGGTTGATTCAAGTTCGATAATTAATGTAGATCATTGCTGAACTTATGTGGCAAGGGAGAGTGTTGATAATTAATGTAGATCATTTCTGAACTTATGTGGCAAGGGAGGGAAGAGCCACTGGTTTTCCTTGACTCACTTAAAGAAGCACACCTTTTAATTTCTTTCTAGAGGGGAGATGAGAAATGGTCTATTTTCCCATTTCATTAAACTTGAACATCATCATTTTTTCTTTCCAATTAATATGCACTACCCTTCTTAATCACATTCAAAATTTGGAGGCAGTGGATGCTATGAAGAGATATCCAAAGGAATACACATGTTGGGGAGATCCTGCTAATTTTTGTGTCTAAAACATTAGAATCTTTTCTCATACTTTTTACTCAATATTCATTTTTTTTCATGGAGAAAGCTTTTTATTTGTCACACACAAGTCATTGATGAGAGTGCTAACATGCACAACCCTTGGGTTTAAGTTAGAGAGGTGATTTTATGCATGGTTTAAAGTTTAAACAATGGTTGGTGTATCCAGTGCAGTATGTTTGTGAATAATGACTGCTATATATTCTGTTATAAAGACCATTATCCAATACCCTTATCCAATAAATTCAGGAGCATTATGAATTAATAGCCCAATCCAATTGGCTTTGAAAACATTTTTAAGTATTATACCATTGTTGTCTCTAAAGACTCCCCTTATACCAAGGTGCTTGGGTTTACTAAATGGCATATACAAGGTGGAAGTGTGGAACCAATGAATGGAAGGTTTTAAGTCTCCTTGTGTTAATAAATTGCTTGGTAACAGAAAAGTGTTCACTCACAAATGTGAAATTTTCTTTCTATTTGTAATATTGCATTTCAAGAATCAGGTTATACAACATTATTTTTACTTTGAATTTTAGGCTCAATAGATTCTATAGCTGACGTGCTTTTTAGGCCATTTCATGTACCCTTAAATCATTTGGAATTAAACTTCCTATAGGCTTTAATTTTGCCATATTTGCTCTTAGCTGGTCTAATTGAAGTTATTGATGTCCCAGGTTGCATGCAATTGATGCAAAACAATGTTAGAATTTCTGTGTTTGTCTTTTAACAAAAACAGAGAAACAATGCTTCAGTCCTTGAATATAGCTCATATGTACCATGATCATCACTACAAGAAAAACGGTCAAAGGCGGCGGTCTTTGTGACTGCCGCTATAGGTATTATCTAAGGCGGGGATGTTTTAAAAAATGGCACGACGGTTATTAATGTACATTCGGCGGATTATTTTGTGAACCGGAATTAAACTGGTTTAACTTTATAATGGACCGGTGCGGAGAAACGCAGGGAGGGAAATTTTTCTTTCTCCTGCGCATGAATTCCCCCTTCCTATTCGACAACAAAAAAGACTTCACGAGCAAGACAGCAGTTCTCTGATTTCCAGCAAAGAAATTTTGAAGAATAAGACAAGTTATTCTTCACAAGCAAGAAAGTTGGGAAGAAAATCTAGGATTGTGCGATTTTCTGGCCGTTCATTTGAGCAAGAGAAGAGAAGAGAACGTTCATTCGAGATTGTGTTCGTTCGAGCAAGAGAAGAGAAGAGAAGAGAATGTTCGTTCGAGGTTATGTTCGTTCGAGCAAGAGAAGAGAAGAGAGGAGTAAAGAAATTTAACTTCTCTATAGGCACTTTTGGAGAGTAGGAGCTAACATACATTGTACTTAAGCAGGACCTCCACTGGATGAGATGTCTATAGCATGCATTTTGCGCTACTTGCTACATGCCATCGAAGACCTCCATAATGAAGGAAAGATTCACAGAGATATTAAAGGTCATACCTGTTGGATTTTAATCTCATAAGAGATTAAATCCAATGGGTTTGATTGGTCAATTACATGAGAAATTGCACCTGCACACTTGATTGGAAAATCAGTTTTTTTTTCTCTTACAAAAACCTAGTTTTGAACTTGTCCCACATTGGAAAATTATAAGTTTTGTTTTCAATATTTCAATAGGAGCTGATTTACACTCTTTAGAATTAGTAGAGGAGAGTATGGGGATTCGATACCGCGCAACGCGCGTGTGCGGCGCAATGAGGCGCTTTAGAGGCGCACTTTGCTCACACTTTGCTCGCACCCGCGTGGCTTGTGATGGGCAGCCTTGGTTTTGGTGCGTTGATCACCGTTGATGAGATCAACGGTCACGATTCGATCGGGTGTGATCAAGAGGCACAATTCAAAATTAACAGTCACTAACTGTTAACAACTTTTTAAACAGTCACAATGTTTGAAATTGTGATTGTTCAAGGTGCCTTCTCTAAACTAGCACCTATGTTTTCTTCATACCTCTTCACAAATTATTTAAGGAGCATGAATCAGACTCTAAAACACACAATTTCGAAATTCACTCTCTCTCTCTCAGTCCGGTCTGCTACAATCTCACAGAAGATTTCTTTGAGACTCTTCAACTTTGCTGGTTGCAGATTCTCGCCCAAGGCTCTGTTGTATCCTGTGAACGAATTTGCCTGTAACCCAATAGCAAACTTAGTGAAACTGAGTGGGGGCAAATAACGTTCTAAAGACAGTATCTTCAGACGCGCCTCAGAGCTTCTCCTCCAAAATTACAGTGACCTCATCTTCCCAACAATACCAATTTCAAATTCTCTTCAGCAAATTATTTTTTGATGTTCAGTAAAGTAGTATTTGCGATTCCTTATTCTGTTCTTGTTTTAGATTCAAACATGCAGTCTTATCTTCTTTTAACCATTTTCTTTAATGACACCACTCCTACAATCATTTTGGCAGCTGCAAACATTTTATTGATTGAGAATGGAGATGTTAAGGTATGCCTTTTTGTCTAAACAAAGCCAAAATCATTAATCTTGGCTGGCATGGAAAAATTATATGATGTTTATCATGGATGATTCTAGTTTTTTAATCTTATTTCTCAAGTGTGTAACAGGTTGCTGATTTTGGTGTTTCTGCACAACTAACAAGGACAATCTCGAGAAGAAAGGTCATGCTATTTCCATGCTTTGATAAATATAACAGGATTGGAGTTTTCTAGCATTTCCTTTACTATTTTATGGATTATCTATTTCATATATGATAAGATGGGAACGCTTAATAATTTATGTGTAGCAGTCAACTCTTTGTACTAATAGATTTAAGATCTGGCAGACATTTGTAGGAACACCATTCTGGATGGCTCCAGAAGTAATTCAAAATTCAGATGGATGCAATAAGAAGTTAAGTGTCAGGAGGGTTGTCTATTTTATTTGCTTCACGGAACCTTGGTCCACTTGTTTCATGCATTTGGATTCTACTTGATGCAGGCTGATATCTGGTATTTGGGATAACTGCAATTGAAATGGCCAAAGGGGAACCTCCACTTGCAGATCTCCACCCAGTGAGGGTTCTTTTCATCATTCCTCGAGAAAACCCCCTTCAGTTTTGTTTTCTTTGATGTATCAAATAGACTGATGCTGTTGTTTAACTTTTGAAAATGAATCAATGAATCTGTTTTTTTTTTTTGCCATATAACCATTTCGACTTTCCGAGGTAGTTTGGGATTAAGGCTTTGTTGAGTAGAGTTACTTTTTCCATATGGAAAAGTCATTTTTCATTGTTTTGAAGGGTGGTGATTTTGTTTGTGTTGTGCAGCTGGATGAACATTTTTCCCATCTTATGAAAGAATTTGTTTACCTGTGTTTGAAGAAGGTGCCTTCTGAGGTATCTAATTATACTTTTCAATATGTTTTTTGTTTTTTTGTTGAAAAGTTTTAGGTGCTGTGGGCATGGCTGTTTTGTACTTAGTACATATTTTTCTTGCTGCCACATGATGGATATGGAATTATGGATGTAAAACATATGGACTTTTCAATCATTTAATAGCAATTATATGCATGGGTAGTCCAAGCAATGTACTTTTTTTAGTCTGGACTCTGGGTTGGCTTGGTATAATTTGGACACATATATTATGGTTGTGCCATGCATGTTGAGCACATATATTATGGTCTGGAACTCTGTCTGTTACTGTAAATCTGTAATGGGTGTATTAAAGTCTTCCAGTCTTTTGGCCTAGTGGAACCACTCTATCAATAAGAAGCTCTATTTTTTATCATATATTAACCAGATAACATGCCTACGAAGTTTTTTTATGGATAATGAAACCTTGTTAAATGTTCATTCATTATTAAGGTGTAATCTAAAATTCTAATTTTATATCTTTTATTGTCTTCATTTCGGAGACCAAGTGTTAAGGATCTTCTAAAGCATCGTTTTATCAAGAATGCTAGAAAAAGCCCCAGGCTATTGGAAAGAATAAGGTGAATGAGTTCTTTTGCAATTAGTGATTTCCATGTATTTTGCAATTAGTGAATGAGTTCTTTTGCAATTGACTTTTGCAATTAGTGATTTCCAACCTATCCACGGCTGCTCTTAAATATTTTTTGTTTTATGTTATTTTCTTCCAAGTCTTTTAGGTTTATAAAAGTGGAGAAGCAAAATCCAGTTTCTCTACATGGTAGGCATGGCAAAATGGAATGCCTGTTGTTGTGTAATTTATGCACAGTTAATTCAGGCAAGTGTACCTTAGTCAAATGTGTATATAATAATGAGAAAAGTGTCGATCCCACAGAGACTAAATCACAGTACTAAATCAATTTTAAACTAACCTAAGTTGAACTTGTGAATCAACTGAATGAATAAAAACTAAAAGAATTAATACAAATCCAAGAACTTACTAAAAACTGAATTGATTGATGAATTAGGGTTTAGATTTCATTAAATCAAGGTTATATAATTACCTATTTAATCTAACTCAAGACCAAAATTACCCTAAAGTACATTAAAGTTATTTGCATGTGATGGTGGATTTTCCTAAATTAATTAATAAGCTTTCTCAAGTCATATTAATCCTTTATTAGTCCAATTCTACCATCAAAATTTTAAGTGGTTGTCAAAAGGAAAAATAAGCATTAATTTCTTTGGAAACCTTTAATCGTAGAATGGGATTTGACTCACTAAACTTCTTTGAGAAAACGTTTTCATAAAATGGTTAATCAAACATTAAATGTTTTTAGAAAAAAATAAATTTCAGACCAGATGATGCTGATGTGGCACCATTTTAGAAAATTCGGCATTGATGCCGAACACCTACTAAAAAGAATTAAATAACAAATGAAACAGACAAGCATCAAACATCATGTGCCCACGATCCTCGATACAAAGTTCTTTTTTTAGGCATCCTCAATACAAGGTTCTAGGAAAGACACAAAAAGGTGAGAGCCTGAGATTTGAGGAAAAGGAGCAATCACCATAGAGATGATGCCTTTTTGTGTGGGTTTATGCCCATGGCCGACCTCACTCTTGGCTGCACAAAAATAAGGATTTTGTGCACTTTTCACTTTGCACTGTGGAGTGCCGACTACCGAGTGCCACTGCTTGTTCATGGTTCCTCGATGTCAAAAAGTACCGCATCTAGGCACCACGTTTCAGGCTTTGTAGGCATTCTTCATAGTTCTTACACGTATAGACACGCTCTCTCTCTCTCTCTGTCTTGATTTATAAGAAGGGATGAGGTGATGCGTTCAAAAATCAAAACTCTAGAGTAGAAAATTGAGAGGAAGAGAAGTATCAAGTAGCAACTACTTGAGATCATAGTAAAAAAGTTGAGAAAAAAATGTAAAAACTGCATTTGTTTGCCATACTTTTTGTTTTTGGAAATTAATGGTCATTGGGCTTGATGCAAAGGCTCCTCCCAAGAAAAGCTTTGGATTGCAAATTTGCAACAAGTAACCTTGGGTTCTGTAGAGTTTTTATTTGCACTTGCTTGAAAATTTTAATTTTCAAATTATATTTTATCCAAGTTTTAGCTAATAACTAAGAACTTCTGTGAAAAAGCTTATCTCATTTATTTTTCTCTGTTGGAAGATTTATTACCTACTTTGATTGCTCACCTGCTGAGATTTGCCATTCCATTTACTTCCCCATATAGGAAGTTTTCACTTTTCGATTTTCAGTTTTTAATTGTCATCTTCTCCCTCCCATTGACTTGCAGGTTTTATTTACAGTTAAAAAAGAACACAGGCGTCCCTATCAAATGGCTTGCTAATCCTACTTCTTCACACGACTAGAAGTTAGAAAACCTTACTGGGTTTTCAACTCCAAAGTCCAGATTGGGAATCCAGGAGAAGTCTTTGAGTGCATTACTTGAAGATAGTGCAACAAACCTTGCAGAGGTTGTTATCTTTTCTATGTTATGCACAATCTATATTGTTATCATCAATGTCCTGAAAATCAGAGCAGAGATTGAACAGGAAAGCTATTTGGTTCCCAATTGAATTACCATTTAGCTGTTTTGAAGCTATAATTTCTCCAGAACTGGGCTTCCCAGTATCCAATTTTGAAGCTATATTGTTATCATTCAAAATGGCTTAAAATATCTGTTCTGTTCCGTGATTGTAGGTCATCAGATCCTGCAAGTTTGGGCACAGTTAGAGTTGACATCTCAGAAAGGAATTGGAGACAGATCAGGATGAGTTTGAGAATGAAAAGAACATGCTTGGGGTCATTTGGGCGAGAAAGCATCAGAGGATCTAAAACAGAGAATTATTGAGCATGTAATTGGCTTGTGCACATCCAGTTATATGGCATATTATTTTTCAAGATTTTATGATTTTAGATATTCAAATTAATTTAGTTGACATATATGCTTTCAGAACATATTAGTCGTGTCAAAATATTACTCTAGGATCACTAGAGCTGCTGTGTCTCACTCTCCAGGTTTGTT